CTTCTAACATTGCAGCCACAAACAAGCAAGTGCACACATACGTACATAAGTACATACAGACAGACTGACCGACCAACAGACAGACACTTTGACAGACACGCAAGCCGCCTATACGTCATACACATGCATGCATGCATGCACACACACACACACACATGGAGAAACATGCATGCGTGCATGCGGCTGCATATGCGGATACACACACCTACACACCTATCTGCATACAGTCTACATACATACCAATGTACGTACGTTCATACAGACCTATTGACCTATTCGGTTACACACGTGCGCATATCTACGTACGTGCATGGGTACGCACGCAAATACACACACACACACACCCACACACGCACGCACGCACACACGCACATGCACACATGCACACGTGCGCACACATACATATGTACGCACATGCACCGACACCCCTACCTGCATACATGTCTACATACAATCTATCTATGTACGTACGTACATACAGACCTATGCGCTCACATACGTAAATACATACCTACATACGTGCATAGGTACATACGCACATACGTACATACATACGTACATACATACATATGACCTGGGCGCATAATTAAGTTTTTTGGATGTTTTCGGCACTCGCACTCGAGCTCAGCATGCGAGGGTTTGAACACAATTTCGCATACATGCATACGTGCGTGAGCCATGCATGCATCAGGCATATCCGCATGTGCTTACGCCCGCATGTGCTCATGCGCCTGACACCGGAACGGAAACACGGTGATAGTGAGTGACTGACGTTTTACCCAAGTGCATCCCCCAACAAATTCAGAATTGACGAAGGTGCAAAAACTTGAAAATGCCAAGATGTGTGCCCTTTTGCATGCGCGGATGCACATAGGTTTTTTGCATGTTGATTGATTTGTCATTCTGCGTCATTGCAGCTTTGCATGTTACTCCATTCTGGTTTTCGCCAAGACCGTGTTGCAGGTACAGTAGGGTTCAGGTGATCCGGCTGGAGGTGGATGCCTGCATGGGACTTGACAGTTTTTCCTGTGTCCCAGTGCCACTTTCCATCACTTTCCCCAACACCTATCAGAGAGATTGCTTCAATCTGGTCAAGCATGCGCCCTCGGATTGAAAAACAAGCGCTGCATTCCCAGCGGCCCTCACGGAACTCGTCACTTCGATCTTCCCAATACCTTGAAGCAGCATTCAACAACTGCCAGCGATGCGACTTTTCACTGAGCCGTCGTCATGAGCAGGTATCATAGACCGTATCTAAAGGTACAACCTGGCTGCTTAAAATCATGGTAGACCTCATTCTCCGCGTTTTGATTGACCATACCTTGGACAGGTGCAACGCACTTGCAGGCAAGCTTGCTGACGACTGCATTTTCTTGCTTGATTGATGCGCCACGTGGAAAATGAAGGTACGAAGAATTACGAGCACACATGAACTTCCGTGGACTGTGTGTCTCAACCTTGCGATTTTCAGAAGTCCAGCCCACATGTCAGCACCTGCCAATGCTTACCCGAGAATTCGAGCAAAGATGCGCTCCATGATCTTGATCGACAGCTTCATGTTCTCCGAATATGTTGGGTCCGTGTCCGACTTCTTTTTCTTCTCTGATACATCATCATAAACGGACTTTCCAGCCTTCTTGTCCTGGATTGCACACTGTCAGGCACATTCGCACTTTCGATCAGCCAGCAGGCGGTGTGAAATAAAGCCCAAACAGTTTTCGCCCACACGTGCGGATCGGTGTGCTACTGGCGCATGTATGTCTTGCAGTCAGGTATCTTCCTTTTCTTTCTCCTGTCAAGAAATATGCCAGCATCTGCACTGCGCATGCGACACTACACTGTTCGAGGGCCCTCGCCTTCGCAGCTTCGATGTCTGCCATATACTGGTCGAAGATCTCCCATTGTGTGACTGTCCCATCATTCCTGCCAATGCCAAGTTCGTGATCGTGTCGAGTCTGAACGGGGCGACAGACCAAGGTTCGAATCGAAGACAGGGGCTGAGCCGACGCCTCGGAACTAATTTTCCTGCTGCCTACCACACATGAATTTTGTACCAGGGGCTGAAATACCACAGAAACCTTGACATGACAAAACACGACTGCAACCGTCCATCATCGTCCATCAAACCCTTGGAAATACCTCGTGCCACTGTCCTGGTGGTGGGCGGCGGCTCTGTCGTCCAGCTTCGTTCCCCTGCCAAAAAAGCTAGAATCCGACCATCCAGTGCTACTGTAGTCCGACGATGCTGCGGAGTCCGTGAATGGCCTGGAGAACTTTGTAGGCACTGCATGTCTCGACCCCCACGCACGACCAAAATGACCGATGAAACCCTTAACATCTATCCTATTGAGAGGTGGCCTACGGTGGCCCCCGGCACTCGCTCGCAACAGGCCATGCTTGAACCAAGTTACGGAGCAAGGCATTCTTGGATTGGGCAGCACGCTCGGAGAAGTTGAACTGATTGCCTGTTACACCGAAGATACTCGCATGTTCTCAAGGAGCCAACCGGCATCAGAACCATCACAGGTCGACGCATGATTGAATCAAGGCTGATAGCACACGCCCAAATGCTCGCGAAGAGCTGGAAACAGGACCCTCTACGAGCATTCGCATCCGCAGTTGCTGCTGAGTCTCGAAGAGGGTTCTTCACTGGCACTTCCTGCGCTCCGGCGCGACAAACCCGGCAACGCTCTCACAGACTCACAGAAACAAAGAAAGACAGGACCTGACCGTCCTGGTTATCTTCTCTGTGTCGAACGGCACCGGCACGTTGAAAACAGTCTACAGTCTACAGTTCTAATTACAGGAGGAGCTTCAGCGTTGCAAGGCCAGGGGGGTCCACCCTTCTCCGAAGTCCTCAACTTCCCGAATGCCGTCCTTATCGTTCTCTGGCGGGTCGAAGTCTTCGTCGATCGCTTCGGCCTCCTCTTTCTCATTCTGCTCGGCCTCCTTCTTCTCCAAGACCTGAGCAGCTTTCTTGCAGCGTATCAGGCTTCAACAGCATGATGCCTTACTGATTGTGATTGAGCTTTCGGTATAGCATACCCTTCCAACATACATTCTTGCAGCGTCCGGCCCGAAGCTGCACATATTGGAAGATGGCAGGAGACTCTATCTGCAACATCCCGCTTTCCGATGACGTAGAAGACCTAAATCTTATCTTTCCTGAGTGCTGCGGCCTCCATCTGATCTTGCGCTTCCGGGCTATCCTTGAGCAAGATCAATCCATCTCTGGCGAAGTGCATCACGACCTGATCCACCTGTCGCATGTCTTCTAAAGACATACACCCTGAGACATGTTGGGGTTGACCTTAACTTCTGCTACAGTATTTCGGCTTTCCGACAGCGACGATCTCTGACTCCAGAGCTTCTCGAAATTGCCTGCCATGGGCTCGTGTTGTCCGTTTTCGTGGTTTCGCTCTCACGACTCGGTTTCGCGATTTGATTCGGACCGGGGTGGTCTGGTTCTGGAAACTGAATACAGCATACACGCACGTGGCAGGACATGTGCGCACAGGGCATGTCCGAATCGGGTGCAGAGTTGGCGTGCCACTTCTACTTTAGATTGAAGCTGCCCCATGCCTGCTCATCCACCTTGAAACACTTCTCTTTGAACGAGTACTGCCTGAGTCTGCTCATGTCACGAGTGCTGAAGTGCTTCGGGCATGCACTAATCGTCTGTGCATGGAAGGTCCAAACAGTTTCCAATTAGTACCAGGCACGTAGTGTTGTGGGCAGACTGCGGGTTCAGCGGGTAGAGAACGCGGGGAGGCACTTCCTTCTCTAACTCCTGCAGATGTCATTGAACCGCCTGTTTCATGACGCACATAATCTGCAATCAGCAGGAGTGGAGAGTTGCATGGGACTTTGAAAGTGAAATCCTCGTTCAGCTTGACCCGAGAAGTCCGGATAACGTTGATATTCGGACTCAAACTCTAGACTTTGGTCGAGTCCTCTGGTTCCAGTGGCAGCTGATCGTCTGGCCGCACCTGAGAGACTGTCGAGAGGGTTTTCTGATTTTGCCCGCCTGGTTCAGCTCCTATGTCCTGCCTTAACAATGACTGGCATGTCGTAGTCATCGCCCAGTTCTTGCTCCGCCTCTGCTCCGGGTCCTGGCATAGTACAGGCCACGCATTGCACTTGGGTCGTAACGTATTGGTTTGATACTTGTTTGCTCGTCGCGCGTGCTCGCCACAACTTGTGTCATTAAGGATCGTGTCCCATTGCCATCGCCTTCAGGAGGAGGCGTACTTCGCTGCTGGGCCTTCATAGGCGCTTTTCCGGTGCAGAGCAGATCATGCGGCGTCTCTCACCGAAAGGAGGCGCGGCGGTCACTCGAGCTGCTCAGGGGACTTGCATGTGGTGCCCCACCTTCGGCGCTGCCTTCGGCGCCATGGCCGCCAAATTGCAGGCAGACAAGGGCGGCGATTCTTGGGGAGCGTGCTCAGGACGCTTGAGCAGGAAAGACAGCGGCAAGCGCGCATGCCCTCAGACATTGTCCAATTGGTCATGTTGGGGTGCCTGTGAGGATCGCAGCCCGACGATGCTGCCTATCACTACACGACACAGCAGCAGTCAACCACGAGGCCGACAACAAACACGACACGCACGACCCAAGACCATTACCAACTGCTGCTCTATCGGGTCCTATACCTGCCGCCGCTGCTACCACCACTGGTACTACTACTGCGGTGACGACGACTACGGCTAAACCTCTGCTACTAATGCACCTGCTACTATACGTACTGCTGCTACTAACCCTGCAACTGCTACTGCTACAGCTACCAGTCCCACCACTGTAACAACACCACACAAATACCACTGCAACTATCAATACCACATCGCTCGGACGCGAACATACTCTGAAGCAAGTTAATGGCATGTGTCGATGCTTTGTGCCAAACAGGTGGGCAGCCTTCACTAGTGTAAACCTCGATTCCGGCCCACGTCTTCCAAACTCCAGATTGTGGACTCTGGTTACAAGGACAAGTGCTCAACGCCTCTTCCTGTTCCGGATTCTTGTCCGGGTGCCACTTTATTTGCCAATTCTTGAGGGCCTGGCAGCAGGCAAACTGCTTGCTAGAATCTCTTCCGGTGTCAGAACACTTCTTGTCTGCAGCAGTGGCCACAAGCAGTGTCAAACAAGAGCGAACAAGTGAATGGCGTCATGTAGCAGCGAGGCGACAGGTGGAGTGGCGTTGCGGGCTTGCAGTCTGTGGCTTCAGAGGTGCATGTGCTGCGGCAGTCGACATCACGCGACAAAGTTTCGTTCGCGGCCTTCTTCCGGTCTGCGACCGAAACACCGTTCTTGATCATCTCCTGGTAGGCGGCAACGAGCACATGCGCAACGGCTATGCAGCCCTGACTGGATGCTCATCCGGAGTCGACTTGCCTCCATTTCCTGAACGACGCTGCATTTCATCGCCTCAGCAGTGGCAGGCTCTGTGATTTATGGCAATGGACCAACGCCGACCATCAGCCAGAAATCTTCGCTCCTTTGACTAAGATGCCCCGTTCCACATCCAGAGTTTAGCTTGAAACCTCGTGGGCATGGGCCGCCACTTTGCCTCTGAGGGTCTGGCAAATGCAATTTGCTCCTGCGCATGCATGCAGGTACCTATCCGTATCTATGTATAATACATGTATACATATTTACATATATATATATATATATGAGAATATATATATATATATATATGTGTGTGTGTGTATAAATGTGTATATATATATATATATATATATTTGGCTCTATATATATATATATATATATATAGGTAGGTAAGTAGGTAGGTAGGCAGGCAGGCAGGGCATGCAGACTTGTCGGCCTAGGTAGCATACATATACATATACATACATACAGTATATATTTACCGAAACATATGCATACACAACATACATACATGCATGCATAGAGACAGAGAGAGAGATATATGTATGCCTCTGTATGTATGTACGCAGGTATGTACAAATGATAGACAAATAAGCACTAAAATGTTCATAACAGGTAAAAAGTTCAAAGTACTGACAACAGTGACATTAATCGCAACACTAACAAGAAGCATAGTATTAATTCAAGCACAGGCATTTTGCACGCTGCGACACAAACGGGCTGCAGTGACTGAATGCTTTAGTCCGACCTCGCCATGTACCACAAGCCCGCCTCCATGCTTGCATTCAGGCTTGGCGGAACCTCAGGACGTGATAGTTTCGACGAGGAGTGCACACCAGCTACAACTTTGAGGCCACTTCGTTTTTGCAAGTCCAGTATCTCCACATGGGTCCGAGACCATCCGACATCTAGATCCTAAAGCGATGCATGATTGACACGCCCACGCGGAACCACTGTCGAACTTCACGGATGGCCCAGGGAGCCAACCATACCAGATGCAGCACTCTCCGCTGGTGGTTGACCAGCTGCAGCCTGCCCCGAAATCGTGGTTTCGTTTCGGGACATGAATGCGAAACATTCTAAACAATGTCATGGCGGCACAGATCCCAGGTTTGGACATCTCAGGACGAATCTCTACTCTCAGCTGGGACTTTTGGTGCACAAGCTCTGTCAATTACCTGCGACCCAAGTCGTGACGAACCAAATCACGAATGCCCTGGCCTGCTGGGACTGCTGCTGCTGTTGCTGCTGCTGTTGGTACCAGGCCTTGCAGTCTCTGCAACAGTGGGGCAATCTTCATGTATTGCATGCTCGTGCGGGTGTAGATGAAGTTGACCTCGCCAGTACAGAGCCAACACAGCCTCTTTCTCGGTTCGGCTGGCGGACTCGCCATCTCTCTCGTTCTTGGTTAATCTGCTGGGTTTTGCCAAGCTGGTCAAGCAAACTAGCCTGCATCTGTCTACTGCAAGGTCTCAACATTGTTCTGGTCCCTCTGCCTCCTCTCGGCCGAGCTCATGCGCCAGGTCTGCTGATGCCAGCCACCACTCCCAAGACACTCCTTAACCCCACCTTCCTCTGGTCGCTGCCTGCTGCATATATACCCCCGCCCCATGCACATGGGCTTTATGGAAAGCTGGCAGCGCGCCGCAAGGTTTACTGGGGTCTGTATTGGGCATCGCTTTTACCTCGAATCGGCCACGACCTGCTGCTCCAAAAACACCGGTTGCATCGGCAAGAGAGCCCGCTGAGAACGAGAGAGAGAGCGAGAGAGAGAGGCAGAGAGATGTAAAGACAAGAGTATGCAAGATAGTGCTGCGAATCTTGAGACGGCAGCAACTGCTCAATACTTGCTATGCCAAGCAAGAGGTTAATATAGGGGAATTAATTAATACATTATATGAGAGTTATGAGAAGGAACCCCCCAAAAATGCTATTTGTAATTTTTTAGACCCCTGTAGTAAGTACGGCGTTTCGACTCTCCCAACTCGCAAATGGCAGGCGCAGCTTCACCTGGATTGGTCAGGGGTTAAGAACAAAGAACAACTACAGTCACGCTAGGCTGGCAAGTCGAGAAGGCAAGCCCTACCCACCAGACCCCAAGTATCCGGCCATAAACGCATTCATCAGAACCCAGGCCCATCCAGCATCTTTTGCAAGGTACCGCGTCCAGCTACACCGACGCTTCCAAGTATATAAGTAAACCGCCAGTATAGCACCACCTCGACGTAGTAGCACAGCAACTCCACACACACACACACACACTACAGGGCTGCAGGAGTCCTCAGAGCCGTGGAAAAGAAACCAGTATTTACGGTGGCAGAGCTGCGGAGCAGCTGCAATGGGAAATCAAACCATGTGGAGACACTACAACTGCTTCGAGAGACGAGGTGTTACGTGTGGAGGCAGCTTCAGGTTGATATGCCTGCACCGTCGGAGTGAACCAAATGGCACGAACACTTGGTGTGACAGCTTTCAAAAACCCAAGCCCCGTAAAAGTGGAGTCCCCGTCCATGGCTCAGAATGCGATCCCGATAGCTGGTAGGTCGTCTTGCTCCGTGCTGTTCTTTGATACTTTTTCACAAGAAAATCGTTCGTTAGAGGTATTAGAGGACTGAAACTCTGTGTCGGCTCTAGGTTGTGCCTACGGTAGCGTAGAAGGCAGATCTCGATTGCCATGACTGCCGAACCTGCCCCTCCATACCGCGAGGTTCCGAGTCCAGTCCAAAGCTATATGCTTGGGCAGTGACAAAGTGTTGCGCGTAGAGCTGATCCCACCTAAGATGAGCGGAGTGGCACCGGCATCGTGGTTTGAACTCTTGCGGAGGGCCCAGATAGAAAGTCGTACACAGATTCGAGGACTAGGAAGGTGATCTGCAGACGCCACCTCTCAACGTACACGTACACACATGGCCGCACCATGTCTACAACTCTACTGCTGGATGCAACGAGAGATAACGAGAGTCTGCGTCTTTGACTTGAAATCCGAGAAGCTGTTGCCGCTGCGCTCTGGCTGCCTCTTCTGCAGCCTGCATCTGCCGCAAGGCATCCTGACATGCTGACACGTCCGTAATCGGACACGCCGAAAATCAAATCATGGACAGAACATTCCTCTCGGCTAAGCGCCGGCCCACGGCATACAATAGACTGGAATCGGCTTGCGATCGGCATACGCACGTCGGTTCGGTGCCGCGCTTCTTCTTTGCTAGGTGGTTGATGAACGCCAAGCAGAACTGTGATTTCCAGCATGTAATTCGATTGACTCGTGCCTGTTCTACGTCAGTCCAGCGCCACGCTCTTCCTCTACGGCAAAACATGCTCGTCCGTTCAACATCGCTGACAACATGAACTCAATTGATCCGGCATCGGTCCAGTTAGGTGCAGAACAGCACTTCTTCGTTGGTGGTCATCGAGCAACAGCGTGGTTGGGTGTCGGTTTTCGTATGAGTTCAGCTCGTCATGCGCTGCTTCTACGTCACCGTTGTGTTGCTAGCTGAGCTCAGAATGGAACCGTGGCCGAAGTCCGCGTTTTTCTGGGAATATGGGTTCTTGGCTTTGTGAAGTGCTGACAATCGGAACCGACATTGAAGCGGCACAGATCAATATACAATCGGCATAGATTGTTGGTTGGCTTCCAAGGAACCAGCCCAAACAGGTCCAAGTCAGCTTGCAACATGCACCATGGAAGGCGACATGTGAGCCCCTGCATCTCTCCGACACACATGTCTCGGGGCCTGGACAAGACAAACATTACATCAGACTCTCGATCTGTGAGTGATGTGGCACATGAGCCAGACTTGCCACACCACTGGTCAGCAACATGCGACTCAACTAGCTGAGGGAATGCCACGATGCGGAAGGGTTCACAGAACAGATCACAGAACTTTACACATCCAACTTCCATGTACAGTACAAAAAATGAAAATGGATTTCTGCCTCTCTGTTTAGCTGATAGCCTGTCCGTGGAATGCTTTCTTCGATCCATGCGTGGTAACATGGCAAAAGATGCATTCGCGACAGAGGTAGTCGCGAAATGAGCTCATATGCCACTGTGGGGTGTCCGCGGCCTCGTACTGCTGCCGCTGTACACGTGCTGCCTCCTGCCACGAAGCAATGGCCATCAATCATGCACCCGTCACTGAAGCACTGATGCGATCCTGGCATGCGAACCACTGTCGACACCCTGGTGTGCATGCTGGCCGTTTGAGGTGTCCAATCCCACCTCTGCAGCGTGTGCAGCATAAAGACCTCAGGCTCGGGCAGCGGAACTAAAGTCTGACAAGGGTTACATTACATCTGTCTTGGGCTTCAGCTTCCGAGACCCTGATGCTATGAAGTGGTTCAATACATGTTCTACTAATTCGCAGACTGGCCGGGGCCCTTTCTTTGCGTGCTCCACCGTTAGTGTTGGGAAGCCGTCATGTTCTGTGGCCTCTCCACCGCACCAGTTGACTAATTACCCAGCAATCCCCCGGAAAAGTCGTCACTGCGATCGTTTCCATCGTGAGGTCTTCCATCCCTGATGAGAGGCCAGAGAGGCAATTCCAGCACTCCCCGCCCGACAGTTCAGGTGCAGTCGGAAACGTATGATTGCCGACCATGTTGCCACGGGCCCGACCCTGCCCAGAAGGTGCCAACATCGGATTTGGAAGGAGCTGCTCTGTCGCAGAATTAACCGGTCTGACCGCAGCAATGTGTGCAAGCTTCATTTCGCGCCATCATCTCCATGACAACGACGCGGATGCGACATCTCCACGAAAACCTTGATTGGGCGGATTGCCGCCCCGCCGTTGAGGCTCTTGCACTAAACCTGCGGGAAGAATTCCCATCGGCTAGAGTAGCCGAGTAGCCCGCGACAACCTGCGACCAAGTTGGGCCCGGGGCCGTCGGACATGGTCTTGCTGAACGGCATACGATACGAGTAGCCCGCGTGCAAGCTGTATGTAAGCTTGCTATTCGACCCAGAGCTTGATAAAACTAAAACTCTTGGCACCTCCATGTTTCGTCGCGCCTGACACCACCATCTGTACATACCTGCGGCCTGTTTAGCCCCGTAGAATGCCGTAGAACTTCATCCAATAATGTGGGGGCCCTTTTAATCCAGTGAGCCGAATTAATGCGGCTTATTCCTTATTCGAGCTCGTACCAAAAAATGCTGCCTAGTTGATCAGTTTTTTTGTTGTGGTATTTTTTGTGTAGTTGATCCTGTCTGCTGATGGCCAATCTTAAGGCACCCACGACCTTACCCACCGTCCAAACCCTAAAACCCTGGCCCTACTTAAGCCGACTCCTCGCCCTGAAACCCTGGCCCTGCACCCTGAACTATGCAACTGGCTACCCGAAATCCCACCTACTTAAGCCTAAACCTTAAATCGCCCTTGAGCCCAGGACACCACACTATTCAAACCAAAACTTTTGGTCGCGGGCGGGCCCCTGTTGAACAGGCCCCCACATTACTCAAGACGCTGGAACTCTAACTGATGACGGCGCTGTCGTGTGATCCCCATGCTACTTAATCTGTTGTGGCGTAGAAGCTCGCCCCTGCAACTCACAGACGCCACGGGACCGTCCCAAGCACCACCGCCCGGAACCGACGCCTGCCGGGACGCCGCAAGAGCAACTGCCTCCCTGTGCGACGTGACTGCAGTCAAGTACAGCCTGAGCCGCCATCTCGGGTGGAGGCTCCCAGGAAGACTCGCCGGTGGTCTGGTTGTAGTAGTAGAGATGCCCTGACGAGCCGCAAGCTTTCGTTTAACATCGTGGTAATGTGCGACTTGCCCGCAGCACTCGCACAAGGCCGATGCGCGTTGTGCACTTTGCAGCTTGGAGCTTTCAGGAGGATCGAGCCTTCTGCAGTCTGGCAAGCCATCCATGCGCCGCCTGCTTGGCCTACCTGCAAACACAGACAACGACAATGGGGAACCATCCTTCAACTCGAGATTAGAGCTTGCAGGGGGGCCTGTGGTATCTGCTGCTGCGTCTGCTGCTCCGGCTCGTGCAGCCTGTGCTATCAGGAACGGAGATTACCGGATGCCAGGTCCACCACCAAAATACTGCCGAAAGATGAGCACAGGGCAACCAGGCCACACACAAAATTACAGGATTGCTTCATGAGAAAAAACTTGTGCATATGTGTTCGCCCATCTTGAGGCATGCTGAGACCCTTGCTGCTGCATTTCGGCTTCCGATGCAACTACCTGGCATCGGGAGCCAACATGTCCAGGCTGCCGTCATGCAAAGCTGCGCGGCTCGACCGACTCGACTCACTTGTGTTGGAAGTCGGGAGCGAGATTGTAGAGACGATGGTCATGCAAGTGAGCACCTCCTCTATTTCTACGCTTGTGCAAAGACAAGGCTGTCAGCAAGCTCAAGCTTTGCAAAGGCAGTCATTACATGCTGACTGATTCGCAGCAAGGCATTTTCACATTTATACTGACTCGGACCAATCGAGCTCCAGTTGCACTGTTAGCAGCTGTCATGATCCATCGTTGATGCTGCAGCAAGGCAAGACACTGCGTGTGTCGACGCGATGCATGGCGACATATTATGTGGCCACTGCAGGCATGCACCTCTGACTGGGACACGAGCCCTGCTTTCGATTTGCTCCCTTTCGGGAGCACGGTGAAGAAGTGCATTGAGGAGCGCATATTGCGCTTTCCAGGACGATGGTTGCCTACGGCTAGCACATCAATTTACATAGTGCGCAGAAGCGCCGACGTACATTTTGTCGCCAGAGTTTGACCGCCATGGAGTCGACTTGCCACTCAAATTCCGTCGCCACTTGACTTGGATTTGCCGGCTTCTTCGCGTTCTTGAGACCATAGCTCGAGGTTATCGCGTATCCTCGGACCACACTCATTCACTAGACTACGAGCAGCTAATCGCGCAACTGGCAATCTGAATCAAGGCGACAATAAGGAGAACTGCCAAAGCGAACAGCCTCATTCGGAGCCTTTTCCCTTGATCCGCTCTTGTAGCTCCCATCGACCTCCCTTCCTGACTTCAGCGCCGCCAGTTTAGCACAACCAAAAGCCTGCAAGGAACCCTCAGAAAGACAGCTCGAGTCCAAGAAGGTGGGATTGAAGGCAACGTAACGGTCCACAGAACAAATGAGTTGCAAATACTCGGCTGCGTCAAGCAACATCTGAAGGGCTAAGGCGATGTCTCCTCGATCCATGCCCTCAGTCTCCCATTCCTCCACATGGCTCGAGAGCATGCAACCCAAAGGCAGCTGCAAAGCTGACAGCGTTGCTTCAAGTTCGGGGCAGTGACAACTTCAGTCCACATCTTGACGAAAGCCCTCTGAAACGTGATGAAGCACTGACTCACAAGCTTTCACGAGCAGTCCTCGCCGCGACCCATGTTGAAACCTATGGCATCCTTGGCTATGCAGGGTGTGCGCGCAGACGTGTGGGGGGCAGGGGTGCACGGGCGGGGCTATAGTGTCTAAGTAGTACTCCTGTTGCTGTGACGGGGTGGCGGGGCTAATGGATAGACTTAGGAAAGGCGCAGCCTTCCACCAGAGTGCAGCCGGTGTGTGCACGCACCCGACTTGGCCCGACCGAAGTCGGAGCTCAGCACAGATGCGATTGGAAAACAACGAAGCATGGCATCAAAGCCAAAGCCCTAGGGCAGATTCCATCGCAGTTCGAATCGCTCCCCTTTCGACAGAAAGGAAGTTTAACAGCGCAAATTGGGCATTTAGTAAGCAGGCAGCGGGAGCACCAAGTTCAAGCTGAAATAGCAAAGTGCATGCCGACTTTCGGTGTCGCACAGAGGAAGCATGTTGTGGTTACAGTGGGGCCCAGCCAGCCACCAACATCCCGTGAACCTCCTTTGGCATCTTCTGAAACAAGCAGATTTGCCAACCAAGCAAAGCTTCTTCACATCGGACTCTCTTAGGGCTCGCAAACGACTTATTGACATCTTCGGGGAAAACGGTTTCATCATACCGTAACCCGCAATGGCGCGTGCAATCGAGGGGCTTCGAAAGCCGTCCTCCCAATAGCAATCGCGCGATCTTCATCTCCCAAGCCGTGTAGAAACACCGCATAGTTCCTTGTTGATAGGGTGCATCTACATCCCCACTGCAGGTATTCAGAAGGTCAAGCGGCAAAGCAAGAAAGAGACGCGAGGGGTGCGTCGGATTGACAAGGTCCTGAGGCTGTTCCGCAAGGTGCTGTGCTTTCGGGCTTTTCGAGGACTTCGATAGTTCCACAAAGATTATGTGATTCAGAGAGGGGCTACCTAAGCTTACTCAACTCGAACGCGCATCGGAATCGACACAGGCGTCCCCTCTCGAAGCCACGATCTTCCCTCTCCACACCCTCCAGCCCTACATCGGGAGGTGCTGTTCAGGACGTCCTCTTGCACAGCTATGGCAGCTTCGTAAGCTTGGTGACCACGCCGCCGTCGCTCCTCACCGATACTTAATTGCAAATTCTGCGAATTTTGCGTGTGTCTCGGCAGCTGCTTCGAAAAACTGCTGCTTGGAAGTAGGCATTGCGTGGAAGCTTCCTCGAACCAAGTCACCTCCCAACGATGAGCCCGCCTCCGCTTCATCACCCCCAAGCTCCATCAAGTAGCGATAGTAGTCTCCTGTGAAATTTGCACAAATCAACCCGGCTGCGGGTCGCAGGCGTTTTTAGCGAGCTGAGTGAAGTACGACTATCTCGAACCGAAACCATGCAAGAAGTGGGTCCAGCCCAGTCCATGTCGTAGCCATAATCGGCCAATGCAGGAGGTGTGATACCTTGATCATGACGTGGCTCCCAGGCCTGCAAGACGGCCATACACAAGCCGCTCGTGACTGCGCGCAGGCGCATGCGGCAGGAGCCTCTCCTGCGTCAGCACAAACCCGTGCACGAGGCAACAAGACTTCGAAGCCATCGAACAAAACGGTGCGCCATTGGCCAATGCTCCTCCAGCATCCGAAGAGCCTTTGTCATGATTGGCTTCATGGTTCGGGTCATCTGGTCGGCTGTGCTGTTGGTCTGTTAGCCCCTTTTGCTGTGGAGGAAGCTTTCTGGCCTGGAGCTAGCTGTCCCGCCTCGAGGCAGAAGGCTTCCACCTCGGCCGCCTCCGTGCTAGCAATGCCTTCCTCGCGAGCCTCGACAGACCACAGGGCAGGTTGGCAGCTGCAGCATGTGGCACGACCACAGAGAACTGCCGGAGATTGGAGCTTTTCTTTCTCAATTCGAGCCTGGCGCCAGGCTTCTCGCAGGACCCTCGATCGGGCCTTGAAGGCGGAGCCTTGCCGAAGCTGAAAGAAACCGCGGTACCAAACCCCAGTACCTCCAAAGATCTCTTCCAAGACCAGCGATCGCTTGCGAAGGCGAGAGCCGAGAGGCTTAGCAGCTTGAGCTCGTAGGCGGTGAGATCTGCATGCTGCTGCACCAGGTCATGCAAGTGGCTTGCAGCCTCCTTCATAACATTTCATAACCCTTCAATTCCTTCAATCTCGACCCAAGCCGAATGCAAGGGCTCTACTCTCGCGAACGAGAGCAGGCTCCTTGTACTCCTCGGACTCCATCGCTGCCGTCGCAGCTTCAAGCCTTGCGTCCAATTGAATCCCAGGCCTTCAGACCGAGCCTTTTTTATTTCCCTTGGAATCAATCTGGCATTGTGCCGCCTGCAGAGCAGCACGCCACGTCGTCTTCACAAGCAAGTTCTTCATCAATTTCTTCGTTTGGCAACATCGATTCGGACAAGCGAACTCGCACATCACGTCGCCACTAAACCGACCAGGCAGAACAAGCCAAAAAATCACAGCACGAACCCACCTTTCATGTAACCCTCAGACTCAGCCTCTAGGTCACTTTTGGGGCGGTGTACGGGCAAACTAGGTGTGCTTTGTGCATCTGGGAGGCAACTTGGAGCGGCAGCTCGTGAAAACGATGCACCATGGGCTGGTCGAAAAATCTGCGACCGGATCCGTGTCTTTCAACTCTTGCCCGCCGACTGTCACCTGCGAAACTCTTCACAGGCGGTCGAAAGAGCAAAAATCCAGGCTTCCTTAACTCTTCCAGTCATTTGCAGCTCAAGCACATTCAAGCACCGAACAGACATGCATGGAGTGGCCTGGCCGGAACGCGCGCGATACCCCAGAGAAGGTATCGCTGCTCTGCGAACATCAGCGACTTTGGCGGATTGCTGTATCTCGATAAGGCATGTTTCGCCGGACAGCGTGACCAACGATAAAGCCAGTAGCGGTTCCATGTTGAGCCAATGCTGCGGCTTCGTAGCACTGTGGACAAACCGCATCGCTTGGTGCCTCATATCAACTGTGAGCAAAACCGACTCTTACAAGCCGAAGTTCCATCCCAGATGCCTTGCCAGCACAAGGCACATCCCAAGCCGTTTCGCCTGCAAAGGGCACAAGCTGCAACTGAGTTAGTAAGCGCAAACACAAGCAATGCCCTTTTAGCCGGAACCTTCGATACAGGCAAACCATGGCAAACTGGGCTGAAAGTACAGGAATAGGCACTCGTGCGCCAACCGGACCCGTAAGTGTCAGTCTGGCCGCCGGCCTGTCTCCCAGTTGCAGTAGTAAGTTTGACCGTCCTCGGTCGAGACTGGGTACCAGTAGCTGACCTGCACGGCCTGAGCAGTGCGCGCAACGGGCAAAGCTCTAAGCAGGAGTTGACTCGGAAGAACATCCGCCGAATGGCCTGGTCAGCCGGCTTCCGCACATCATCGCCGGGAAGGGGCCCGGTCTGTTGCACCTCTTCCGGCTTTAGACCAGCTTAGCCGCTTAGCCCCTATAACATCCTATATCAGCAAAAGTCCCGAGAATGCGACAGTTGATGAATTACAGCACGGGCTCCACTTGGATGTCTCCAAAACATTAGGTCATTAGGACAACTACATCAGCACTCTATAAGCAAACAAGCCAGCTGAGGACGGTTCCAGCTGTGTGCTCCACCAAAGCGACCGCATGTGCATACAAAATTTATCGATATATATATATATATATATATATATATATATATATATGGACACACCCCCCCCCATGACCTACCTCGGCCTCTTTTCCATTGTAAATACCGTCAAAACCTTCTCTTGGCAGGGATTCGCGTTGGCATATATATATACCTAAATATGAACATATATATATATATATAAATATATGTATATATATATATATATCATACCCGCTTTCCTTTTTTCGCCGATGGCATCTCCCCAGAGTCAACCTTGTCCAAGGGCTGGTTGTTTGCGTGTCAGAACCCTCACCAGCTTCACTCAACATGATGTCGGCTGAGGCACTCAGCTAGCAACCTCTTGCAGACAAGCACTCGGGGAGAAGGTGGCGGTTTTGCCACTGTGAACTGTGAAACTCTTAGACAGGACGCCATCGGGGGCCAACAGTGAGGGACATCTTCTGGCCCTGGATAATTCAACAGTTGATGGACCAGCCGACAATCAAACCAATACTGCAGGTTTGCAGGCTGGAAGTCAAGTGGTGACGGCATGATTTCCATGCTTATCGCAAAGATTAGCCGTAGTGTGAGGTTACAAGCTTTTCTGGCTTAGCTAACATCTGTTCTAACACGATGCGGCCCCGCATGCTTCCGCACCGCTTGCCCCCTGTGCGGCATCAAGCAAGTGCTGCGGTAGAGTTGTCTGCGACTGTGAGCATCCAGGTGGGAGGGTAGCAAGGAACTGTCAGTCGCTCCGCAAATCTCACGGCTTCAGGCTTTGCCTTGCCACTTGCTTTTTCGAACTATTCTTTGCTGCCGCGAGACGTCGAGCAAGTGCACCATACATACGACGCACCCTAATTAATCAAAATGACGCGGCGAAGAACCAAGATGCCGGCAACTGTTACTCGAGACTGCAAGTTTACTCCATCTGCCCTGACCTTGCAACCCCAAAAGATCCGCACGACTTGTGAACTTGACACCGCCGCTGAAAGATTAACACCGTTGCCACCTTTCTTCCTGTTCGCACTTCCTCGGAGTGCCTCCGGAGCCGCAAGCGTCTTTCGCACGCCGGCTGGCGGAACTATACATGACCCACAGCCACCAATTTTGAGCAAAGTCAAGAAATCGCTGCAATGCTCGGGCGACTCGGCACGCAAACACAACTGAAGACATGGTTTCGTTGAGAATCGAGCCTTTGTGTTGATTTTAGCTCAGCAAGCATCCCGACATTCGCCGGCTGGGCTGTGGGCATCGAAACTCTCAGAGGCATCTCATACGACATGATTTGTGCCTGCACCATCCTCCATGCTGTATCTCAGCGCTGTCCTCGGTGAACATGCCAGACATGGGTTCAACTGCGCTTCGGGGGTTTACATGCGCTTTATCGGGTTTCCGAGGCCGAGAAGAATACCGAAAACATGAGGGTGAGACTTGATTCTGCCCTGTGCTCAAAGCATCACCAGTGAACAACTCATCCTACCAAAAATCGTCACCGCGCAAGAAGCTGAACTTCACAAACGATGCGGCCCAAGCGCAGCTCTTTGTGTATGGAAGCGACCGACTTTGTGAGACTTCGGATTACCTGCCTGGTCACCTTGTTCTCGTGGCCTCGGTCAGTCCAGAAATTCAGCTTGCTCTGCAGTTTGCTACAGGCCGCCAAATCATCAATAAACTGCTGGGTCAATTGTTTGAGTTAGAGACGTTTAAAGCTGCTTCACAACGTGTTTCATTTCTGCTGGGAACCCTGCCTGGTAGCAGGTGCAACCAACTTCATTACCGCAGGCTTCCGGGGTGGCAAACCAAGCCACGCTTCGTAAGCCCGGGACTCATTTGTGCCAGCTGGAGACTCTTTGCTGGGCCATGCAGCTGCATACAACCGGACACGAACTCCTGAGCGAAAGGACTCAGCTCGAGTGTGTGCAACAGTGGTTCGGCTGCTTTGTGTGGCGGCGCAGAACGGGTCAGCCGTCAGCTCCGCATTTTGGACGTTGCCCGAGGCGGCTACTGAGCTGACTAGCGATAGTTTTGACGAGCTACTATTACTATGGTATGGGCCGGTATAGATCGAGACTTTGTGCAGTAAACGGACATAACCGTGCATTGCATCATTAAGAGGTCCATCTCCAAACGCACTTCCAAGCCCAGCAACATCGAGATCGATCCATCCACTACGGTCCGTGTCGATGATCATGAACAGCCTTGGCCCACAAGCACGCGCAAGCCGGCTTGGATTGCGAGTCGGAAGCAGGGCAGCCCCCTTACTCTTTCTAGGGCTTTGAAGGGACGTGCGAACTTTTGCCGAAACTCCTCAACACCCCCTCTGTCTCTCTCTCTCTCTCTCTCTCTCTCGCTCTCTCTCGTCTTCCACAGCTGGTAAGGTCCCCGCGCCATCACGACCCCCGATTTTCTGGGTCGTTGATGAAAACACTGTGAATTCTCCGACTGTTGGCGGCAGGTTAGTTTTCACAATGAAGTACAATCGGAACTCACAGTTTCAAGCACACATGCTCGAGTTTGTGTCCCCCGCTGTTTTCCCCCGGGCAACAACTGAAAGTACTTCCGCAACCACTTGTCTTTCGCGAACAGAGCAAGATCGAAGCGTAAGTTACAAGCATGAGAGTTCATTGACGCTCGCTCGCGCTCTCTCTCTCTCTCCCTCTCTCTCTCTCTCTCTCTCTCTCTCTCTCTCGCTCTCTCTCTCTCTCTCTCCCTCTCTCTCTCTCTCTCTCTTCCGGGCTTGGGGATCACGGCAGCGTCCAGGCCGATCACCCCGTGCGCGCGCGCACACCCGCTTCTCGCGGGAGGTGTCACCCTTTCAAGGGATTTTCCCCTGAAGGCTCGACTGTACTTGCGGTTCGGCACAGTTCCCGGTGGATATTTGCGTCCACAAGCTCAGCTTTAGAGCACCGAAAAGATCCCCCGGCAGAAGTCACGTCAAGGAGTATGAGTAAACACATTCAATTTCTGCCAGTGGGGGAGGGGAGGAGGAAAAACATGCACCCCCGTTACTTCGAACGGGTATCACCGAACGGCTTGGATTTGCTTTGCGTTGAATTATGCCTCCATCCCCCCTCCGGATTCCCTAGAGCTCAAGTCGTGTTGAAAAGAAGCCTAGATTGTGCGATTCGATCGCGGGGCTTAACGAAGCCAGAGAAGTTCAAGGTTTGCCACGGGTGGGGCCAGTGGCCCATTTAAAGAGTTCACTACCTGAGTCTGCCGTTGTCTACTTTGTGTTGTAACGGGACAACTGGGAGTCAGGGAACTTAAATCCCCCAACAACTGCACTGCATCGAATTTTTTGTTCCGCAGGCTCCCCCGTAGGGCTCAGTGCGACTCGGTGCTCAAGAAGACTCTCCCCTGCGTTGGGCCATGTAGGCTTGTACCTAGCTGCGGGTGCACTAAGTTGCCCGGCAGGGTCTTCAGGGTCGTTGGTCTCGTCGGTCTGGTTCAGTCCCCCGGTCGCTGTGTTGGCTTCCCCCACAGGTTGGGTGTCACGCTCCGTTGTTCTGGACTTGTGGGTCTTTGTGGTCCTGCTGCTCTGTGGCTTCTCTTCCCCCCGTCGGACTTTGACATCCCGACCGCTCTTTCAACGCCCCCTGCATGTCTGCACAAGCGACACTGCTCCGTCATGGGCCGTCACAGCCCCCAAGAAGCCAGGAGGATCACCTTGTGTTCCGCGGCGGAATAGTATGGCCTTCCCCCCTACTGGCGGGCCACCCTCGAAAGGGGCCGCGGTCATGGATCAAGCAGAGCGAAGGGACGACGGGGCCACTTAAGCACACGGCTTGAGCCAAAATGGCTTCTCTCTCTCTCTCTCTCTCTCTCTCTCTCTCTCTGTCTGCAACCACGGTTACGTCAACAGCCCGGTCCACAGGGCCACCCATGACCAAGTGGGGCAAGCCTTTTATCGTCCGGGCTTGTGCAACCTGCATACTCGGCCCCTATTAGGCGTTCCAAACAAAGGCAACACAACATCATGGAATTGATGAGCAAAGCTGTTGGCAGCTGCTCACTCTTGTTGCACCAGATATGAAGCCGGAGAGTTGAAGTGCACCATCAGGGACTGCATCCAAGCGACGTTGACACATCCTGAAGGGCAGCAGCGCAAGAAGAATCCGACCCACAAGTCACTGACGAGGGCCCGTAGAGGCAAACAAGGACTCTAAGTAGACAGGGCTTTTCGGCCAGTTGAAATCTACACCATCGTGGGGCGCCCTTGCCAAGATAATGCTCATGCACAAGCCTGCAATGCGGGGGCTTCCTTACATTCAACCGCACGTCCGCACGTACGTGCCCCAGCCGCAAGATGGCGCACGAACAGACTCCCTACCTCCCGCTCACGCGGGAAGCGGCACAGTGCGAACAACTGGGAATAGCAGTGTCTGGCAACTTGGTAGGTTACCCCCGGCCATGTCAGCAAGGTGATACAACCGCAAGATCGTCACTTACTCCGTTTCTGTCCAAGGCTTTTCTGCTCTGAGCCCACGCTGTCTTCAACTCGGTCAGAAAACAACATTTGCGGAAACCTGAACTGAATATGCTACACTGAAGATCCTATTCTCAAGCTGGCACGGAGGCCTTGTCTTAAGGCGCAGTCTCTCTTCTCCCCGCGCCTGGGTGGAAATGCCCATGGATTCCAGAAAGCTCGAAAGCTTCTTGGCACTGAGCGCCTCTTGTAGCTCCGCCAATGTCACCAAGTTTGACCTCAGAAGGCTTCGCAGAAGTTTTGGAGGTGTTCCGCTCCGAAGCCGGAACAAAGATGTGTGTCTCCCACTCGGAGCTGTGCACTTTGCAGAACA